GACCGCCACAGTTTCACGAGGACGTGCGTCCTCTCTAGAATTTCGTCCTGGCCAGAGCATTTTATTTCAAAATGAACACGCTGCGTTTTTCAACAACAATAATAGTTCAGTTATAGATGGTCTCTTTCTTGCATCATCACAGCATTTTACTAAGTTTCTATTTTTCTTTTATGCTTTTTTTAATTTACACTGTGCGTTTGCCTCGGGTATCATTTTTCCTGTCAGTAAAACCTTTGCATAATGAAAGTGGACGATAACGTTTTGGTAAATGTCATGCGACAGATGCTTCAAGCCTGATACGTGGAATTTTGCTCTACTGTTAATTATATCCCAAAAGCCTTGTTTCTTTACATTTCCTTTCTCTTCATCATTGAAGTCCAGCCTGTGGTTGTGCAACAGAAAAACGTATTCCATTAACTAATTTTCCGTGATTTACAAACTAACACTCCTGAAGACTGTAGGAGAGCTGAAAGAACTCTTCCAGAGTTGGGACCCACTGCTGTTGAAACAGATTGCGATCGTTCTGAAAAACTGTTTGACAGGTCTTTGAATAAATACACTCCCAGGAACCAAAAACACGGAGCAAACTGAATATGAGTCAAGACTGCTTTTTAACTATATTGTCATAGATCTCTTACATATTTATCTGTAACCGAAATGTCTGCTGAAGCAGTGACTTTCCTGTTTAAAGGTGAACCATGAGCACAAACGTGCAGACCTAATTAAAACAAACACAAGATGGTTCACATTCAGGCTGGCCAGAGGGTCAACAAAGACAACATAAAAAAGCTAAAAAAATGACCAAGCTCACTGCTGTAAAAACAATATACACACACATGCAGTTTTAAAATGCTTTTATTGACTAACTTACCACTATACAGACAACAATCCTGAATAAGCTTTTAAAATAAAAAAAAAAACAATAGTTATAAGGCCTAAAGGTAAAGCACATTTTGGCAATGAGGCACACTACAATGTTTTATTTTCTTATACTATGCACATCTTGTTCGTTTAAGTATCTAGGAACCTATGTTTCAAGTTACAATACTACTCCTGTAGTGTAGATGAAATGGTTGAAATCAAGGTTGTTTGGAATAGAAAACCTGCTAGCTCTACAACCAGCATTCCTCTTAATTGAACCTACATATTATCTGAGCAGTGAAGCTCTCAGCCACATTAGGGTAACTGTGCTTCCATTTTGTGCACCAGAAAATCAAATGTCTGGAAAATACAGTCATATTTTATCCTCTTTAATAAACCCTTCAGCAACATGCGTATCTTTGTGAGCAATGTTGCTGAGCTCCTTTATGAGCTCAATTATGTTCTTCAGTCCTCTCTCCCCAGATAAATTTGAAGTGTTTAGCTTCATACACAGCACAGATAGATGGCAAAATCAATTTGACTTCTTTAATCATTAGGAGGGGGAATACCACATCTTAGTTACACTACTGCATTTTCTGTACATTATTATAAAGCCTTTAAACAGGCCATAAGCACCGCATAAGGATCTAAGTTCCTGTTCTGACATTTCTGTCTTCTCAGGTAACATTGAAATAAACTGGTACAAGACAGTGGTGATTCACATGTGGCACTCAACCATTAAACAATGCCTGTGTTTTACCACTTATTTATATTTCATATTTTATGATTCTGTACAGGCCCTCATTCCCTCAGTCGGTACAGTGTTTTGTCCTGGGATATGTCAGAGGCTGTTTTCCAAGGCTTTATTTAAACACAAATGTTAGCCTTTATCCAAAACAAAACAATTAAAAAAAAAACAATTCAACATAAAAAAACACCAATAAAACATACAATCCAAGACTTGCTTTCCCCCTTCGCTTACAAGTTTTAAAAATAATAAGTGAAACAAAAGAGCATTAGAAATCAAATAACAGCTGCAAAAGGATTTCAAGTTAAAAGCATTGCTTTGAGTTACCATTTGTGTAGCATTAAGGTTTGCTTTTAGTAAATTGCTTTAACAGTATGGCCCAGTTTGAGTGTACAGATAATGTGCAGTCTTTTCTGTGTTTGCCATTATTGGCCTGTCACTTGTTTGAGAGTGGATAGTGTATTGCTTACTAAAAAGTAGACCCATTATATGGACAAACACACTACCATCCCAGCAGAGGAATCAGAAGAACATCAGTGTCATAAAGCAGGTCAGTCTGGACCATAATAGTCAAGACTTCTCTAAGCAATAAAATCTCTTATATGAGTGAAGAACAGGCCACTAATTTTGCTCTCAGTAGTCCTCTTGGTAGACATTTTGCTCACTTGGAAAAAAAAAACAGCCCACTCCAGTAACACGCAGGTTGTGTTTGTGGTTGAGATGAGATACAAGACATTACACCATTACACAGAAGAGAACAGTATGAGTGCACTTCCATTTCAAGTCCTTCTCGTTTATCATCATTCCCGCCGAAACAAGCTAGCCAAAGTGTTCAAACATATCTTTGGAAATTTTTCACTGGATTCATTTAGCATGACATTGTCAGATGTCTTGCAAGAGCCAGCTGCGGACTGCACAAGAATGGAGTGTGCCTTTGTGAGAAAAACACGGAAAAACAATCAATAGACCCCATCCACTCATGATTTCAGATACGGTTTAGTCAAAGCTATCCGAGTTGTGGGCAAGAGGAGAAGTTTTTTCTTGGATTAGGATAAAATATATATTTATCAGTTAAAAGGAAAGGCAATCCCAAATGGTAAACGAAAAAAAAAGACTGAATGTATTTGTCATCATTGTGTCTTTGCAGCCATTTTGCTTGTACAGCATGGAGTGTCTGCCCCACCAGCAGCATCTGGGTGCAGCTATGCAGTGGAGGGGTCAAGTCCTGGCTCAGGGTATTCTGCTTTCAAAGAGTAAGCTTCCTATTCTGGGCTTGCCTCCTCCGATCTCCACTTAAAAAATAATAAGTCCAGCAAGCCCTCAGAAATTTTGTTTTAGTGACTTTCAAGTCTGTCAAAGATAACGCCTTCCAAGACATTTGTTAAAACACAAACAGCAAACCTAGATATGCATTCCATAAATCCAAAAGGTAAAATAAACAAGCTTTGTCCTCTGATCCAGCATGTTTTTAAATCCAGGTGGACAATACTCTTTTTATTAAATGAATTGATAACCGATTCTGTTAAAAAAAATCCGACCTGAATCTATTTTGTATATTCACATTCAGGTGATAATGAATTTACTTCGTGATATTCTGAAATAATACAGGTAGGTGTTACAAAGTACGTATTCACCAGAGGGTCATTCACCAGAGGCAAATTTGAGCAGCCTTTTGCTTTTCTTTGTCTGGGATTTTACAAACCTGTCAGAGATGTCATTGTGCCTGCAGGGATTTCAATAAACAGAAGCTTTTCTCCCCTAAGTTGACATGTTTCTTGAGCCACTGTGCAGTTCTACAAACTCCGGTGATGTGTGTGGCATGAACCCCTCTGTATTTTGTACTTAATTCTGCGAACACGTTTAGGGTCACAAGCAGTGCAAACCATGAAGAAACTTTAAACTTGCCATCTATATGAAAGTGATAGAATCTAAGGTCTACATGTACATATATTTTACCAATTTCACATTTTTATAACTACCAAAATATATTAAGAAAACTTAGTGCTAATATAAATCCTTCATCTGTATGACAGTATCCCTGTTGGGAAGCTGACCTCAACAGTATTTACTCCAGTAACCTTTGCTGTTTACATACACTGTATTGCTGTTGGTAAGAATAAGGTGTCCTGGCCGAAGTGCTCTCTGCCCTTGCACAGCGTGGATGCCGTGAGGTTCCCCCTAAATTCAATTGGGGGTGCAGTTCACTACTTCTCACCCTGAGCTGTTGCTGTAGTGGGGCTGCGTGTAAAATGTTTTGGAATCTGTCAGGATGAAATCATTATGCCAATGTAAATAGTCATTCTTTATAATCTTCCAGTCATTTTTAGCAACGTAAAAAGTGAAGTAAATACTTTTTTAATTTGTCAGCTTCCTTGCCATCCAAATTGTTACCTCTCAGTCTCCATATTTTTGCCAACCTGAAGCTTGTCCTTAGCCATTGGGTCATATTGGATTGGCGAAGTTTAAGCTGGAAGGTACTACGTTACATTACGTCTAAATCACGCAAGATGAAAGGCAATATTTCTCTAGAATTGCACTCGCTGTTATTGTTATTGCTGTTATAAGACTCACAGGGCCTTTGAGAAATTTTCATTTCTTGTCCAAGGAGAAGGTTAATTTATCTCTGATACAATGATATACAGTAAATCCTGGGTTGCATGCAGTAAGTACATTGCAGGATCTCTGTAGCCCATCCCCAAAATGATTTGGTGCGAACTTCCCTGGGTCTTTTTCTGAGTTGCCAGACTTTTCAGAGCTCTTAACCTCCTCCTCTCCTCTCTAAAACCGTTATGAGTAGCACAACTAGAATGGAAGTATTTCCTTTCATTTTGTTTTTGGAATGCATTGTTTATCATAAAGAGCACACCCAACGTGAAGGCACACCAGTGCTCGCAAGCATCACCAGTGGTTTCCTGCAGGATGGAGAAACTGGTTTTCTGCTTTCCAGGACAGGTTCATGTCTTCAGGTGCTGCTGTCTGTAGTTGTTTCTTTTACGTTTGCTCTCAAACACAAATCTAACACACCTCAAACATGAATAACAATAATAATAATATTAATATAAACAATAATAAGAATAATAAATGCATAGCTATAAACGTCCTCTTTTAAAGTTGCAGACGTAAATGCGTATGGACGGAAGATATCAATGCCTAGAAGTTAATAAAAGCCATTTCAAAGTGTTTCTATTAAAATTTTCTAGATAGAATATGAATATCAATAGGTTAACCTCATGAAAAATCCTTAAAATATAACTCTGTTCAATAGCTTTAAACTCTTTTTTTCTTTAGGAGTAAAGGCAAATAGCACGTTAAGTCTTCAGTAGTCTTCACTTTTTCACGTTAATTTTCGTCACAATTTTTTTTTCCTTTCCTGAAAAAGAAGCCCCTCCTTAAAAAACAAAAAAAAAAAAAAAAAGAAAAAACCAGACGAAAAAAGGACATTCTCCGCGGAGTTCGCTCTTCATAAATACGAAAGTGTTCCTTCAGTGTTTTGGGAGGCGGGTCTTCAGTACGTCTGGTACACATCGTGGATGGGGACCTGGAAGGTGGCCGTGGGGAACGCCTGAGGTACGTAGCTGGCGTAGCCTCCGTAGGCGGCGGCGGCGGCAGCGGCTGCGGCGTTCTTCTGCAGGGCCGCCAGCGTGGCGGTGGATGCGGGCGCCGCGATGGGTACGTAGCTCGCTCCGTACAGAGTGGTGGCGGGGATCCTCTGGATGTTGTGAGCCATCGTGTACACCGGGGTGATGGGGCGGCCCTGTGAGGAGGGAGGGAGTAAACACGTGGAGGACTTCATTGTGGTTCCTCTGTGCACAGGTATTTACATGTGAATTCTAACCCTCACCCTTCCTCTAACCCCTAACCCTAACCTCAAACTACACTTCAGAAAGTTGACTAGAGAGCCAGCAGCCATTTCACCCTGAAGCTCACAACTGGCAGCCCACTGAAGCTAAGCGGGTGTGAGCCTGGTCAGTACCTGAATGGAAGACCTCCTGGGAAAAACTAAGGAGGTCTGGAAGAGGTGTTAGTGGGACCAGCAGGGGGTGCTCACCCTGCGGTCCATGTGGGTCCTAATGCCCCAGTATAGGGATGGGGACACTATACTGACTTGGTAGCGAGGTGCTGGATCCAAGTTTTACATTTGAATCTGAAACCCGAGTGTCTGCCTGTGTTGTTACCCACCTCCCACTGATTGCGTTAGGCTGCCTGGGAAATGGACACCTATTTGCTTTCATGCTCCACAAAGAGCACAAATGCCAATTGCAGGGGTCAGCAGCCGCACAGTGATCATTTCTATCAATCCATTCCACATGTCAAAACGGTCGGGAAGAGTCCGTACCTGAAATGGCGGGGGCGTGGAGACAGCCGGCATGACAGCGGCGGTGGGGGCCGCCGAGGGGTCATGCTGGACTGCTATGGGGTTCATCAGGTGCTCCACTGCATGGATCTTCCCGTCCTCCATCAGCTTGGTGGCTGGGCCTGCAGAGAACACTGGGTACTGGGCGCCTAGTGTGGGCAGAGCCACTGGAAACACACAGACACCACATTAGGTTGACAAGAAAGAGCAGGTCCACAGTGTGGCAGGCAGTATGTATACTCAACGACAAAACTTTGCAAATGGTGACCAGTACAAGAACTGTCTGCAGCTAAAGAACAAGTAAAGGTTTATTCCATGCTGACAAGAGAAGAAAAACACAGTTTCAGCTGTGGAGCCTTCTTTGTGTGTACGCTAGCTATAGTTTCTTGTTTGACACCCGAAGAAGGCTCCACAGCCGAAACGTTGTGTTTCTTTTCCTCTCTTTTCAGCATGGAATGGAGCTTGTTCCTTTGCAGCCTATGCACGCTGACGCAGTACCCTACTGGAACTGTCTGCAGCTAGTTTTGAGGATCCCCATATTGTGAGGAATACACAATCCTTCACATCTGAGCTATAAATCTTACTTTAGCAGTGCAGTCTAATTGAGATGAAAAATGAATTAGGACTTAAATTAAAATATGTACAAGGAAGTGAGATCTAGATGACATATGGGATGTATTTTTAAGAAGTCTCAGTGTTGACAAAACATGCAAATAAAAAGGACCTAATGGAAAATTCAAGTTATCACCCAAACATGGCCATATTAGTATGAGTCAGCTTTGAGAACAACTGCTATGAGCTTAATACATTTAGCAGTGTCCAAATAAGCCTTGAGTTAATCCATTACTCAGCAAAAAAACACCACTGAGCAAACAGCAAGTCCTCCTACAGATACTAAAATTAATTCCCTTTAAAGGTCAATTGATTCTGGTGTTGACCAAAAGACGGAAGCACATGTTTTGTAAGGGGATACTAATAACAACAGTCCAAGCTTGTACTAGGAGTGATTCCAAATGGAAATCCCATGATCACATACAATTGGGTTAAGTGAGACAGAATGGAAAGCTAGTGCCACCTAGACCCATTCCATTTACGAGGGAAGCATTCTAAAGTGTCTCAGAAACACTGAAAGACAATCAGCCCACCTAGGATCCCCAGATCAATAAAGAACAATATTAGCCAGAGAGAGATAGCCCAGAGGACAGATCAAATATAGGACAAAGTCAAAACAGACACATAACGGGAGAAAAAGAGAGGTTATGGATGTCTGAGTAAGGGCTAATGGATTCCTTAATGGATAAGGGATATTGTAGATAATGGATCACAACTAACTTGTGCCAGGTTTAATGCCCACTGGGTTGACTGCAGTCAGTTCCAGGCTGGGAACAAGCTCGTAGGGTTTCTCCTGCTGTTGCTTGGCCTTCCCTTCATGGTATCTGCTGTAGATGCCACGGCCTGCAGAGTATCCCCCCAGGTATGAGCCCCTGGGACCTGGGGCCCTATTCCCAGCTGCCCCGCGCCCTCTGCCCCTTACAGTACCTGCTTGAGATACAAACGAGACAGGGACGTGTTCAGAATCATAGCACTCGCTTCCTAATCGGGGCGGTCATCGTGTGTGCAGTAGTGATACTGAACTTTCAGTTCCCTGATTGAAAGGAAATGCCCCAGTTTCAGGGGTAGCTTACATCATCTGCGCCTTCCCCTAATGCCCTGTCTCACTTGCCCCCCGTCCTGTTGTGTGAACTCTGTGCAATTTGTCAATCTCAGCTCAGCAGGAGCGTTTCTGATTATCGTGTCCGTGGGACATCATAGTTCAGACATTTGGTAGAACCTGCCGCACGAACGTGTTGCATCTAATGCAATCACATCTTTAGGGTAGGAGTCAATAAGCAACATTTTTATTTAAAGAAAAAAACTTGAGACTTTGTCTCTTTAGATTATACTGCATGTAATGCTTTATACTTAGGGCTGAATAATTTGTCTTACACACTAAAAGGGAGGAAACAAATACATATCATGACTCTGGAGCCCTCTAATTGAGCTCTGTGCCCTGATGGCCTGTACTGTGCTGATATATTTTATGAACCCACTGTTCAGCAGAGAGTTATCTTTTGGGTTTATGCTGGTTTACTCCACAGGGGTATTAATTTAAACAGAACCACAGAGAGTGCACACAATAGGTTGCAGAGCAGGCAAGTGGAGACACAGAAGCAAAACACAGATATACAACTGCACTTGGATACTTAGCTACACACCTATGGTTATAACACTCTGTGTCTGACATTACTGCTGGCATCATTTATTTTAGACAACTTCTGCTGAGACCTACCATGCATTTTACTTTCTTATTTTTAAAAGGGGAAAGAACCTCTACTTGTTCCTCTGCAGCTTGCACACTGACGCACCTCCCCGCTTAAACTTCATTTGTTTATGCATCTATTTTTGCCATTATGAATGGGGAAATTTGCTCTAGGTTAAGGTAAATTAGCAGCAACTGTGTGCCTATAAGGACTTTAGAATAACGCACAGCAATTCAGATTGTGCTGTGGTCTGAAGGAAAACAATAATGATCTAGAAGGGGCAATTGCCGGTTATCTCTGAGAGACACTGAGAAATTCTAGATGTCAAGTGGTAGATTTTGTCTTAGGAGCTTCAAACTAAAAATGTTTAAAAGGTAAAAAAACTTTGGTTGTCATTATACTGTATATATGCTCTGTTTTCTGCAAAATGTTGAAAGTATGGTTAACATTGTAAAGTTAATAGTGAGTAGGTGACTTTTTCTTTCACAAATATGGTTACTAAAAGAAAACAGATTTTAGATGACCTTTGATCTTTTGTTTACATGTCCCATAGTACTAAGATGCTGTTACCGCCTAGGAAACAACAGCAGAAGGAAAACCGAAAAGGAGCTGAAGATGTTCAGCTGAATCATGGCCAGATTACATACAGAGGCACTGAATGTCAAATTGGTGATGTTACTACTATCAGGTGTATATCTTTTAATTAATGTGATAATGCCTGAACCACAATTTAAAAAGGAATAATTTACACAAACAGTAAACCGATTTTCCTATAGATTAAGTCAAAATGAGATATTTTGAAGGGAAAAGAGTTAAAAACATGAGTTTCGTTGCTCGAAAGGTTTTCCCAGGCTTCAAGGAATCAACATGCTGATTACAAATCAGAAACCACTTTTAAAAGAAGGCATCACAAAAAATAGACTTTCCCTCAAAAACATGATTGGGATTTCTAACTTGGAAAAGCAATCAACTTCACCTTGGACTGTAACACAGCTGTTATATTATTCTAGTACAAGGAGTGGTTGTTTCAGGGTATCCCACAAAAACAAGCAACACCAAACATAGAATCAAAACAGAAGAAATCTAACCTTTAACAAAGTAATCTCTGTTGGGTCCTATCAGCGCGTTGTAAGGGTATCCGTAGTAGGCTAGTGTGTAAGGGTCGCACTGGTAAACGTAGTTGGCTTGTGGGGTTTCTTGCGTTGGCGTTACACCCTTTGCTGCTTTTTGGTATCGTGTGTATTGCTCCTTGTCCACCGGCTTGGCCAGAGTGACTTCAATGCAGGACCCCTCCACTTCCGATCCATTGAGTTTGTCCATGGCGTTGACGGCGTCGTCCCGGCCGGTGAAGTGCACAAAGGCATAGTCACGGATTTTCTTCACCCGCTCGACGCAGCCCGGGTTGAACTGGCTGAAGATCTTCCGGATGGTTTCCTCCGAGGTCTCGATCATGAGGTTCCGGACGTACAGGATCTTGACCGTCTCCATGACGTCCTCGTCCACATCGATCTCCGGCTCGGCCCAGTCCACGGCGATCTGGTGGCCCCACAGCTGGATGCGGCCCGGCATGAGTTTCCTCCGGGCCATGGCGGCGGCCCGGTGGCTCTCGTACTCCACGAAGGCGAACCCCCGGTTCTTCATTTTGTCCGCCGCGCTCGCGTACACGATCACATCCAGGACGCCTTCCGTCACCTTGGAGATCTCCTCCAGGATCTCCTCGCGCTTCTTCGTCTTGGGGATGCCCCCGATGAACAGCCGGCAGTTGTCCACGCTGCTGCACACTCCCAGCAGCCTCCCGGGACGGATCTCGTAGTTGTTGAGCTCCCGGACGGCCCGCTTGGCCTCGTGCTTCTGCGTGTACATGACGAAGGCGTAGCCCCGGTTCTTGCCATCAAAGTCCATCATCAGCCGCATTTCGTAGATGCGCCCCACGGACTCAAACACGGGCACCAGCTCGTCCTCGTAGACGTCCCGGGGGATCTTGCCCACGAAGATCTCGCAGCCCCGCGGGGGGGAGGGTCCCTCCCAGCCCGGGGGGGGGCCGTATTTGCGCTGTCCGTTCTCTTGCACCATGCCGTACCCCGTGCGTTCCATCAGGGCCAGGAGGGCGCTCTCGTTGGGGGCTCCCGCCACCCCTTCCGGCACCTTGCACGCGGACTTGTTGGAGGAACTGTTACTCATGGCGGCAGCGGAGTCCTCAGCAGTCATTATGCCAAAACCATTCAATTTGTTCTGAGGCCTGCAGAAAGAACAGGGAGGGAAAACGGAAGGAGGTCACGTGGTGTTGTCCAGCAGCCTTTCTAATAGAAAGTGCACAAAAGGCTCATCCATAACCTGCGGCACGAAGTCATGGCGTACTTGTGGGATGATACACATCACCTAGCTAATTCAAGCTAAATCTGGGATCAGACAGAGCCGGTCACCACTTCGCAGGCTGGCCTCTACACATGAGTGCTGACATTCCAGGGAGGGGGATTTCATATACAGAATATCGTTGGTTGGGTAACACTTTCTAATGAGGTGCCCTAAACCTTTACCAATGAATATAATTGAAAGGCACACGCAGTAATTAATTCACGACAGGCTACAAATAGTTTGAAATACCACGCTTAAAGATCAAAGTGGGGAAAGGAAGAGCGCTACATACAAAAATGTCAAGTAACTGAAAGTTAATTTACCAAATATTATTATCTTGCATACTACAGCTTACTGATAGGACATTATGCAAGCTTGGTCTTAGTCTGATGTCTTACATAAATACAATGTTTAAAGCATGACTAAAAATCTATCAGAAAACAGGTGTTCAGCATTGTGGACAGATTGAATGGGTTCTTGGTGTGTGAGGTAGGCAGCTGTTTCAGTTGTTGGAACAGTTTGGAAATCCAGGAGCCTTTATACAGAATTCATTATGTGTTTATTAGTGCTTATTTTAAAGTATAACTGAATGACTATCATCCAAAGGTTTACACTTAAAGCTGTGTGCGTTTTGCATTTTTCTGTAGCTGGCCCAGCCTGCTCTAGTGAAGCACTCTGTTCAAAGAAAGCTGTGCTTTATGCCTTTGTGCAAGCACACATATCCTGCAGGTTCTGTGGGGCTACCTCACAGGTCGCATTAACTACTAAACTACTAAACTACTAAATAGAAAAGAAATCGAGTTGCACCTGCAAGATGTCATAGTGTGACCTTCAAAGTAGGTTTCAAAGGCAAACAAACTTCACTGAGCAGACAGATTCCATTTTTTCAATTAATGATATAATGTAGTGGCCATATCGCTAGAACTCAACACAAAAACATGCATGCCGAAGAATGTTCCTTCTGTTATACAAACACTTGACAGGCATCTACAGTACTTACTATATCAATGTTTAATGTATTTCTCCTACGTTTTAGGTAACTGCCCGGAGTTGATAAAACAAGTCTTCAAAAGAGCTCAGTTCCAAATCCATTACATTGCAAGAATCAGTTTTTATGAGGTGAGAAGGTCTCTCTGGGTGGAACAGAATTATATGCCAATTCTTTTATATTGAGGTTTCTGTATAAATGTTTTTCAGATGTTGGCCTTCTAGGATATACTACTGGTAGAAGAAATTTCCCTTATCTGAAATGTCCCCTGAGCTTTTCTTATCTCAAATCACTTTATAGACTTATTGTGTGGAACCATGTGGTATGATTATTGACCTTTCCATTTTATGTACAGTATGTAGGGTAATAAAACCCTTTAAAAATACCTCTGTTTTGGTTTATTCCTATAATCCAGACCACACATCTAAAAAGCTATCACTCACGAAAAGGTCTAAAGCTGACAAATATCAGCAAACATGTGACAGTCACCACAGTATGTTTTGTACAGTCAGCTGTGTAATTGCAAACCAAGCACTTACATTTAATAACTTTTACCACTAAGGTTTATGATGGAGCATTTTCACACTACAAGGATGAATCTGTAAAAGATTTACTGTCTCTTTCAGGAAATTATTTGTGATCTTAGGCAACACTTTATCTTAAATAGCTGATTCAGGACAATTCAGATGTCATTATTGCCTCACCCATTTCTGCTTAAAAAACTGTTGTTACAACAGTTACAAACAAGAAGAGACTATGTGGCTCAACTGGGTGTGCCTATCTGATCCGAGGATCTCATTCACACATTCCTTGAAAACAAATCGTGTGTCTGCTTCAATAATGTGACAGGGTAACTTGTTTCAGACCCCCACAACACTTTATGTCAAACCTGCCTCTAGTACTAAGTTTTAAATGCAGGTCCTTATATTTTGTTCTCGTGTCCCCTGGATTGTGTTTTGCTGTTGGTTCCTTATGTTGAATACCTATTATCAGTTCAGTTCTCCTCAAAATCTTATCTACTGAAGTCAAATAAGATCCAGTTCCTTCATCCTTCAGTGAAGGACATTCCTTTCAGTTTGTTATCCACCTGGAATCATATTGCCATACCGACAATTCTCTAGTTTAATTTTAATTATTGTTTCTGTTTCTTTACATAACTTCCATGTGTCTGTAGAAGAAAACATACTTGTACATATAATTAGTTTGGTTTTGTCAGCCTTTTTAAGAATGGGAGCTACATCTGTGCAATTTTCCAGTCAATGGGCACCACCCCTGTCTTGAGTAACAGTTGGAAGGGATTTATTAATTGCCAATGTATTCTGTATCATTAACAGAATGCACATCAGGTCATAGAGATTTGTTGATCTTAAGTGTTGCCACTACCTGTAACACATTAGCCTCTTCTATTAGAATATTATATAATATGCAGTTCCTCAGCTTGAGACATGTTCTCCATTTTTTCTTTTGAAAATACCTGACTCTCATTTAATATCCTGTAACAGTCATTTCCCTTTCCTTAAAATGTTTCCTATTAATTCCCAGATACTTTACTATATCCTCTTCTGTTCTTTCATTGTTATTTTGAAGAAAGGCCTTTAATATTTATTTTAACTTTCATTTATTTTAACTTTTATAATTTGATTATGACTTATACATGAATGATTGCGCTCAGTGCTTCGGATAGGATATGTTAAACTATGTTTTCTACTTGTTATGCATCCTGTAATCTTCGTCTCATTCCTTTCTAGCTAGATTTCATAGCCTGATTTGCACAAGAATGTCCTGCTGATTAAACAAAACACCCCCAACACTTTTTTTTTCAATGCAAAAAATTAATACTTTCAATCTCCCAGAAAAGAAACAAATTAGGGTGGTAAGGTTCTGATGTGATGAGTGATGACATCAGCACTGTATCTGCGAATCTCACACAATTGACAAAAGTAGCAGATGACTGATTCATTTTCTTGATGGCCTTGCCATGCCACAATTCAATACTTAATACCAGAGGAGAAAAGGTACAGACTGGCACAAATACAAATAGTAAAGCACACAAAAGTTGGGAGTTTTGGAGATTTTACAAAATGCATTATTGTCATGGAGTTATTGTCAGGAGGGGCACTGTGGTACTGTTTCATCTGCAATGAAACTGAAATGGCAGAGTGTCATAGTCTGAAGAGGAAAATTACTCCATCAGATGTCCAGGAAATCTCAAATTGTGCCTTGAGGAGGCTTCTTGTAAGATTAATATGGAAAAAACCTTTGTTAAAGAAGTAATTTGTTCTTCTGCAAAGCTAAGTAAAAGATCGGCCCTGTGCAGTTCTGATAAATGCAATCAGGGCTGCATGTCACTGTTAACCTTCAGGACGGCTGTGGAGATGATGTCGTCACCTGTGTTGGTACAGTCCCCTGGCTGTGATTAGCACCTTGGTAACAGCACCACGGCAACAATACCCTGTGTGACCTGAAGCGGGACAGATATCTCACTCCTACACACATCAGATGAAAGCCGTTTGCATAACCGTATCAGCTGGAACTTGCACCGTCTGCAGCTCCTGAAAGGGATGAGGCAAGAGCCAAGAGATAAAAAAAAGGGGTTGTGTGGATGAGGGATGGGAGCTGGTAAAAACAGCATGTGACTCATCCCCTCTTGAAACCTGGGCTCAGAGTGTGTGTGGCTTTTTTCCAGCACTGAGTCATTGTAGCATCTTCCATCCATCCGTCCATTTTCTAACTGCTTCTTCCAACTCCCAACGGGGGAACCAGAGCTATCCCAGCAGGCCATGCGGCCAAGGTGAGGCACACCCTAGATGGAAGGGCATGCACACACTCACACCTACAGTAGGGCTAGTTTCTCCCAGAAGCCAACTGACCTACCAGTGTGTTATTTGGACTGCGGGAGTAAACTGGGAGCACCCGGGGGAAACACATGCGAACACAGGGAGAACATACAAAACTCCACACAGATAGCACCCCAGGGCCCCAGCGCCACTGCAGCACCTTTTGAATCCAAAGCAGTGGCAAAGCACTCAAAGGGACGACATGTTCTCATGAGGAATAACAATACCCCGCAAGCAAATGCCTTCAGGGACGTTTATTGAGGAGTTAGGCTGAGGGTCAACCGCCTGGCTGGAGAATAAAGAAGTTATAAGACCCAAATGCAGAGTGGGGGGTCAACCAAGGTGTAGCTGCAACAGTGGAGAGGAGGTGGATGGGGGAAGCAGAGAGACAGACGCACGAAAAAAGAGAGGGGTAGTATAATCCCTGAGGTAATTCGAGCTGTTCAGGAAGTGATGTCACGGATGAATACGAGTTATGAGCAATGATAGCGCACCAGCTGCACTTCCCCGGCTACGATACAGCCACTGCGCACAAGGGAAGCACAACTTTGTCGCCATCATCCCACTCAAACTTTCATTAAAAACTCCATGAACTAACAGTCTTGCAACAAAACAAACAATGTACTGTACTGGAACATAAATGAGGGAATAATATGCCAGCAGCCATATCACCCTGCAACTCACAACTGGCAACCCACTGAAGCTCTGCAGGTGTGAGCCTGGTCAGTACCTGGAGGGGAGACCTCCTGGGAAAAACTAAGGTTGCTGCTGGAAGAGGTGTTAGTGGGGCCAGCAGGGGATGCTCACCCGCGGTTTGTGAGAGACAGGGACTCTGGACT